TAAAATCTATGGCGTTCAGAGTTCCGGTTGAAATTATATCAAGTCAATATGTCATGCTTAATTGACACGACAACGTATTATCACGTTCCGTTGCTGACAAAAATACGAGTAAACATATTTCTGTCGAAATTGATAAACAAAAATTGAGTATTCAAATCAAAGTGCAGTATTTGATGATTATAAAGTGTAATATTCAAATATTGGACTTCGAAAAAATGTGTATTTTACGTGTGCTCATAAGGGACCCCTCCTCCATTTTTTTCCTTTCAAGTTGTGACTTACCTTGCAACTAACGTTGCAACTTAAGTTGTCACTTAGGTCGTCATTTAGGTCGTCACTTTAGGCTCTTTTCCACTCATCGCAAAACGTACTCGCAAACTCGCTGCGAGTGCCTGCGAGTTACTCGCAGCGAGCTGACAATGAATTGCAGCATAGTTAAATTAATTGAACAAAATTTTTTGTTCGCGCAAACAGACTCGCAAGCTCACGGCGAGAGCATTTTGCGGTGATTGGAAAAGAGCCCTTAGGTCGTCACTTAGGTTGCAACTTACGTTGGCACTTAGATTGCTACTGGCTTAGAATAAAACGCAGAATTGTTATAAAATGCGGAATTGAAGACAAAATGCAGAATTGGGGATAAAATACAGCCTATGAAAGTATTGAGGAAAAGATTTCATAATAAATTCATATAAAATGGCCAATTTATAATAGTTTCTACGAGTTCTATTCTTAAAGACGTGCTTAATAAGCACAGCCGTAATGCTACGCTATATTGGATTTTTGTTTAGTCACTGGAAAAGGAATTTCTGAACGGCAGTGAAGTTCTTTGATGTTTGGTTAAACAACTTTACAGTACAACTTTTCAAAATTTCAGATTTATCTTTTCTAACCTACATTTAATAGCCACATTTCATATAAATGAGTTATATCAATGATATATCGTTATGGATGCTTTTATATTTTCTATTGTGACAAGATGTGTATTTCACATTATTGGAAATACTCTGTGATCCCTTTAATATTAAAACAAAGGATTCTATGAAAGAAAAACTATTACATTCTAGTCTAGCATCAAGGATAAGGGACTTATATACAGTTCTATGTAGGTATACAATTCTCCGTGAGATCTTGCTATTCATTCTTAAAAACACTCCGCGAGCATTAAAACTACACTGAAAATTGAAAATGGTCTTTTTTTCATTCCATTTGAAACATGAAATAAAGAAAACCGAGCTCTCCCATACATTAAGTTGCTCAAATTTTTAAGTATATTATTATGAAAGTTTTCCTCTGTGGCATATAGCAATATGAGTATTTGGTATTCTTGGAAATACACTTGTGATAGCGTCAATATTAAAAAGATTCATTAAAAAAAGAACTATGACTTTCTTTTCTTGCATCTTGCGATATGTGACGTGCTGCCATTGTTATGTATATTTCTTTAGCAGTTGAAAAGCGTCACAGTTTTCTTTAACTGCGTTGATATAAATCACAATTATTTTTTGTTTACAACTAGTGGAGTCTCATACGATGTTTATCATTTCGTTTCGACGTCATCGTGCGTTCGTCAATCCATTGAAACTTTTCTTTAGTCGACGAAAGGTAAAAATTGTTTGTGGTTTAGCGTACATCTTTGGTTTGTTACGACAATTTGAATGAAATTTCATGAGCGCATAGTGGATCTTCGACGTCATTATTACATTTATGAATCGTTTGCTTATTTTACTTGTTTTTACATTTTCATTATAATATTTTTTTTCACTTAGCTACTCCAGAATTGCTAGAGCATTGTTCAAAAAAAAGGAAAGCCCTGACAGCTTACTTCAACACAACACAGTCTTGTTAACTTACAATCTTCACCAGTTCCAGTCTTCGAAGATGTACACAGAGTTTAAAAAAAATTTCGTTTGTGCAATAACCGTTTTCTGTTTTTTAGTAGGTCATATATATTGTATGACTGGTTTTGTGCATTTTTATTTTACGCCAATAAAAAACGTAAAGATTATATACATTGTTCCTTTCTTGAAATTCTTTGCTCGTACAAAGTCAATCCCTAATCCATGAAATACTTGACAGAAAGATGTTGTATTTTTGGAAGTGCTATACAAAGAGACAAATTTGAGCTAGGTCAAATAACAAAACACTACCCTTTCAATCACTTGCATGTTCTTGTTTTAGTGGTTTTATGTGTTTGAATTACATAATGTTTTTAAAGAGGTCTTTTATGTAGTTCAATATACAGACTCAAGAAGACTTCTTACGCTTGTTTTAACAAAATATTCTTCGCACGATAGGTATAATCTGCAACTAGCTAAACTATCATAATTCAGTGTTAGCTGCAAAAAAGTTGTCTTTTTTATTATTTTCTTGTTTTTTTACGTGTGGAACATTTAACAATTATAACTGCACATGTTCTTTTAAAAATTCAAGTGAAAATTATAGATAGACAGAAAGATGAAAACATAATTGCATTTCATTTACATCTAACTTTGACAAACTAAGACTTTTATCTAAAGCTATAACTAGCTTATACACTTCCATCGACAGCGTTACAATACCATCTTTTTGACAAATGTTTCAATTTATAGTTGCTGTTCAGTTGCATGTTCATTGGTTATCTATTAGCAAAGATCATTGTGATATGCGGGAACCGAAGGAGTTTTACTAAACATCACGAGGATTAAGGGAACATTTAATCACTAATATCTCTGAAGGCATGCCTTTGATTTGTAATAGCATGTTTGGAAAGAGTATAATTTTACTAAATTTTGAATTCATTGATTTGAATATTGGCAACCATTGATGGTGTTCAAAACAATATATTGTTCAAGGTAAGTTCTCAAATTATATAAAAACAAACAGTTTCTAAGTTTTGAGTGAAGATGCACTGATTAAATCCAGCGTCCCATCATGCACAAGCTATGTGTAATGAGGACGTTCTTAAAACGAAATACATTCAAAACAAATTATTTTGTGGTATTTTATTGGACAAGAAGCAGCAATTAGTTTGGTCCATTAATAAGAACTTTATTGGGCAAATTGTTCATTAATCATTTCAAGATATGTTAGATTGGCGGTGACACACTGAATATATTTTGGGAAAGCTAAAGATTGTTGGTGTACAATAAAGCTGCTGCACACAGAAAAATGATTTCTTTGCAATAATTGAATTTTGTTTCTCCAATTTCATTTAGCAAACATAGCTATAACTCTTTACTTAAAACTACAAAGTTTTTACTTTTTTATATACACTTCAAGAAGGCAAACTAATAATGAATTTCTATATATACTTAATGCAATTTATTTGATTAAAGGAAGGTTTCAGTTACAATCACACAACAACAAAATTAAATTCTATTCACACTCTAAAAGAACATTACTTTAAACAAATCATTATATTTAAGATAAATATATCCTTTAACACCCGATATAGAAACATGCGTAAGTAATTAAAGAGCAAAAATGTAGTTTTCTGGATTGATTCAAATTTGTCTTTTTGTGCCCCAATTGTTCAAAAGAACAACACTTGTCTGTCAAATATTGCATAGATTATTGGATTGACAACGTGCAACCAGAATACCAAGAACAGAACCAACATTTACATTGACTATGCTACTTTCTTTAGTACATATCTAATACAAAAAAACTGTATACAAATAAATACAACAGACTGCAAAACAAAAAAACTGTCATCGTACAGACAAACAAAGTTTTAACATTCCATCTGTATCTGTGAACACTTGAGCTGGTGGAGGATTGTAGATGAGACTGTTTTGCATTGGAAAAAGCTCTAAGTGCTTTTCTTTGTTTGATCAATGCTTGAGCAATTATGGAGTAAGTTAAAGTCAGGAAGATTATTGGGAAAATGAAGAAACATAAATAAAACGCAAGCAATTTGTAAATGTAATAACGATCTTGAGGATTCACAATGCACTTTTGAAATGTTATTCCAACTGTCGCAACCAAACCAATGATGTATGCTGAGCCACAAACGATTTTTATCTTTCGTCGACTGAAGAAAGGTTTCAATGGATGAACTATGGCACGATAGCGTAGAACTCAAATGATCAACATCATAGATACTCCACGGATTTCAAAAAAATATTTATGCCGTCTATTGAGCAGTCCAAAGAAAATGAGTTAATTTTTAAATTGACATGCAAGATTTCAGAAAAAGATAAGTTTATTAATACAAATGCGTCACATATCACGAGATGAAAGACAAGAAAATAGTAGTTCTTGTTTAACAGAATCTTTTGTTTTAATATTGAAGCGATCACAAGACTATTTCCAAAAATACCAAATGTGCATGTTGCAATACTCAACACAAAGAAAATTTCCATAACAATATATGATGGATATGATTGACTTACTATACGTTTTAGAATGGTCTGTATATTTCTGTATTTAGCTTTGCAAATACCAAATAGAAATTGGTTTTGGTGCTCTGTAAGTGAAATACTCAACAAATGTGTTATATAACTTGTTCTGCCTTCTATGTTAGCTATACTGACCAATCAGAATTCATGAAAGTTTATAATGTGTAATTACATAACCAATCATCAACAAAACTTAATGCTTTTATAATATTTAATTTTAAAATATTATTACAGTTAAATAAACGTAGACGCACGTAACGTCTCATCACAGCTGCAAATGTGAATAGGCACGTTCCCTAAGACAAAGCGCATTCAAAAGTATCCAAATTTACCACATTTTATTCGACGAAAAGCCATATTGAACAATAAATTTTGACTGTTTTAGGCAAAATCATTACATAAATTCCATAAAGTATCAATAACCTCAATGATCAAATGCTTGTCCATGTTTAAGGTCATGGAAACAAGAATAAACTGACGAAAACGAAAAAGGACTTTTCTACAGGAATTTCTAGATTTTTCTTTTTTCTATATTTCACTTTCCAAATGCCATGAAAAACTTTTTATTAGTTCCGAAGTTGTTCAAGTAAATTGTTTTAAAATATAGCAGTACAAGTTTACGCATCTGCTCTTTCTCATTAGTTCTAACTTATTGTTTTAAATACTACAAATACACTCGCTCATGTTTCACTATCCTAGACACCGCCAACACTCAATTTCTCTAAAACTTAATGAAGCCTTACACATATGAAAACAAAAACCGATCTTAACAAACAAATTAAACATTTTAACACCATTTTCTAATTGTAAATATTCTAACTTGTCTCTATCACACTCATATCTACCTTTTTTCTATCTTTACGTGTACCTTCATGTTTATCTTTTTTTCGACATTATTGTTAACCTCTTTTATATTTTATCTGAGATATTTCAAATAGTGGTCATTTTATAGGAGACAAGCATTGTTTTTAAAAGTGGAAAAGGACACTAATTTATTTTAATTTGCTTTTTTCTGAAAGCGAAGACATTTTAGATTCTATTTATTAGTATTTTACTTATATCATTCTATTTATATATTTCTCTCTTAAATCTTTACAAGAACATGCACCAACACTTTTTCAACATTCCACAGAAGAAAAAAATTGAAAAATATTATCATAATGAAGAAAACTTTTATTATTTTCTAGAAAAATGACGACGAGTGTCATTACTTATTTGGGTTCTAGTGTGCACGTATGTATTGCTTAAGTTATTTTGCAGATAACTTTGAGTTATTTTGGTTAGTTTCCGTGTTGTGTTATTCAAAGCAATTAAATTTTTAAAGAACGCTTCCGAGGTCTTCCTTTTTCTTAATTCTATTATTAAATTTGTAAAAGGTATAATTCTTGTTTCAAGACATTAAAATTTTTAAACATCTCCACTACTAGATTAGAACAGGAAGTATGCAAGTAATTAAAATCGTTTTGCTATCTGCATTTGCTAAAATCTTCTTGTACAACACTTCCAAAAGTACAGCACTTGTCTGTCAAATATTCCATAGATTAATGCATTGACAGCGTGTGACCCCAGAATTCTAAGACAATAACCAACAAATACATGTATCACTTTAGTTTCTCCACTATAGTACAGCTGCAACCAAGCTGTCATAAAATAAATATGACCAACTGAAAAACAAAGAACCGTTAGTGCACAAACAAAAAATGTTTTCAAACTTCGAATATATCTTCTAACACTTGAGCTGGTGGAGGATTGTAGATGAGAATGAGTCGGATTGGAGAGTGTTCGTAGTGCTTTTCTTTGTTTCATCAATGCTCGAGCGATTATGGAGTAAGTCACAGTCATGAAGATTATTGGAAAAATGTAGAAACATGAAAAAGCCGCAAGCAATTCGTAAATGTAATAACGACGTTCAGGATCCACAACGCACTTGGAAAATATCATTCCAACTGTCGCAACCAAACCAATGATGTACGCTAAGCCACAAACGATTTTTATCTTTCGTCGACTGAAGGAAGGTTTCAATGGATGAACTATGGCACGATAACGTAGAACTGAAATGATCAACATCATAGATACTCCATTTATTTGAAAAAAATTTTCTAAGCTGTCTCTTGAGCAAGCCAACCGAAATGAGTTAATTTTTAATATGATAAGCAAGATATATGACAAATGTAAGATCAATGCAAATGCGTCACATATCGCGAGATGTAAGACGAGAAAGTAATAGTTCTTCTTTAACAGAATCTTTTGTTTTAATATTGAAGCGATCACAAGAGTATTTCCAAAAATACCAAATGTGCATATTGCAATATTCAACACAAAGAAAATTTCCATGATAAAAATATGATAGATATGATTGACTTATTATACGTTTTGAAGTGGTCTGTATATTTCTGTATTTCGCTTTGCAAATACCAAAAAGAATTTGGTTTTTTGGTGCTCTGTAAGTGAAATACTCAACAAATGTGTTATATAACTTGTTCTTCCTTCTATGTTAGCTATAATAACCAATCAGAATTCATGAAAGTTTATAATGTGTAATTACATAACCAATCATCAACAAAATTTAATGCTTTTATAATATTTAATTTTAAAATATTATTACAGTTAAATAAAAGCAAATGCACGTAACGTCTCATCACAGCTGAAATGTGAATAGGCACGTTCCCTAAGACAAAGCGCATTCAAAAGTATACAAATTTACGACAATTTATTCGACGAAAAGCCATATTGAACAATAAATTTTGACTGTTTTAGGCAAAATCATTACATGAAATTCCATAAAGTATCAATAACCTCAATGATCAAATGCTTGTCAATATTTAAGGTCATGGAAACAAGCATAAACTGACGGAAACGAAAAATGACTTTTCTACGGGAATTTCTAGCTTTTTCATTTTTCTATATTTCACTTTCCAAATGCCATGAAAAACTGTTTATTAGTTCCTAAGTTGTTCAAGTAAATTGTTTTAAAATATAGCAGTACAATTTTTGCGCATCTGCTCTTTCTCATTAGTTCTAACTTATTGTTTTAAACACTCCAAATACACTCGCTCATGTTTCACTATCCTAGACACCGTCAACACTTAATTTCTCTAAAACTTAATGAAGCCTTACACATATGCAAACAAAAACCGATCTTAACAAACAAATTAAACATTTTAACACCATTTTCTAATTGTAAATATTCTAACTTGTCTCTATCACACTCATATCTACCTTTTTTCTATCTTTACGTGTACCTTTATGTTCATCTTTTTTTCGACATTATTGTTAAACTCTTTTATATTTTATCCGAGATATTTCAAACAGTGGTCATTTTATAGGAGACAAGCATTGTTTTCAAAAGTGGAAATGGACACTAATTTATTTTAATTTGCTTTTTTCAGAACGCGACATGAACTGAAATGATCAACATCATAGATACTCCACTTATTTTAAAAAAAGCCTCTATGCTGTCTATTGAGCAAGCCAATTGAAATGAGATAATTTTTGATTTGATAGTAAAGATACCAAAAAAAAAAATAGTTTATCAATACAAATGCGTCACATATCGCGAGATGCAAGACAAGGAAGTAGTAGTTCTTTTTTGACAAAATCTTTTGTTTCAATATTGAAGCAATCACAAGAGTATTTCTAACAATACCAAATACAAATATTGCGACAATGGAAATTTTTTGAGGTTCCATAAAGATATTATTGATATGTCTGACTTACTGAGTGCCTTATTTTCCTTTATTTCACTTTGCATATCAATGATGCTTATTTTACATATTGTGATATTTGAAATTAGCATCAAATAGATGTTGTGGATATGAAATACAGCTGTTGGTCTTTTCCTTTTAACAAATTGTCAGTTATACTAATGAAAATTGAAGAGCTGTAGCATTGAAGATGACAATATTATGACAAATTTGTGTTTTATAGTTAATCCAAAAAGGCTTGACAAAAAAAAGCTGCTCCTGAGATTTCACTATATTGATGAAAATTTTGTTTTAATGTGTAAACTATATGTCAGTGAATTAAGATGTGACTAAACATCTCCTTTGTTAATGAAGGGGGGTGGGTCGGGTCGTATTTGGGGACACCGGACAAACACTTATTGTTTAGATAAAATTTTTGTTTCCCTATTGCGTTTGACAGCTTAGATATTAAATTTTCTTGTTTCGCGTAACAATCAATCATAAAAGAGTTTATGAAAATCGAAGTCATCAAACTAACGCCAATTTTTCACGTTATGCTAATTGCAATTTGATAATTACCAACGAGACATCTTCTACAGACCAACATCTCGCTTTCGACCAATGTAAAAGTGAATTTTTTCAGCAAATTTTTCCAATAAGCCAGTCTTTCAGATGCTTTAATGTCGTCTTTTCTCTCTTTACAGCAGAATAAAAAGACGTCATTACAGCGTAAGGTCATCTCTAACGCGAAAACAGCCAAAATTTGCTAGAATACTGATATAAAGTCACGAATAAGTGAGCAAAATGTGCGTCAAGTAAGTGAACTGCAAAATTTATATCCCATAGAAGTGAAAAGGGCTACCGAAGTCCGAAGAGGTAAGAAAATGGTTTTTCCCGGCAGTCTATAGAGCATCTGAATATACATATTTTCTTATGAAGTGAAAATATCAGTTTTTGAGTAAATATTCAACACCGCATCGCATCATGCACAGCTGTGTTTAATGAGGGCGCGTTCTTAAACGATACGAATGCAAAACTAATCAAGTTTGCGTTGTTTTGTTGTATGTGAAACCATAATTTGGTCTCTTAGACAAACTATATTGTACTAAATTGTTCGACCATGTCAAGATATCATGAATTGCCGATGACAAATCATCTAATTTTTTGCCAAGGTGAAACGATCTTTGAAGTAATCTGCCTGCTGCCGGACTAAGAAAATGACTTTTATGCAAGAATTGAATTTCAAATATTTTAGAATTAACGAAATAGTAAAGTAAAAATTTAATAGTTCTTAAAAGAACTGTTTTATGTAAACAACACTAACCCAATAGTTATAAAAGAGCTAACCACACGATGCATTTCGGCAGACTACTCCTCAGGTGTCAACGTCTGGTAAATGAAATTTTTAAAACCAAACGATATTTATAATCCCAAGAAAGAGTGTGCGTCATCTTCAAAAGGAGAGAAATGCCGTTCATTCTTTCAGTTACGGGTCACGGAGGCTGTTTTAATAGTTAACTAATCCCGTCCTCTAACGACAAAAGAATTATGTTTTCAATTTATCCCTGTTTTGAGGATTGAAAATGAGACGGTTTTCCATTGGAGAGTGCTCTTATGCTCGTTTCAAATGTCGCATTTTACATGCGCCGAAAGCATTAAAGACAAAAGAAAATGAGATAAAATTCCTCATTATCTTTTGTTTTAATTGCATTCGGCACATGTAAAGTTCGACGTTTGAAACGGGTCGGACGCTTTTCTTTGTCTGATTAGTGCTTGAGCGATTAAGGAGTAAGTTAAAGTCACAGTGTAGAAACAAACAGTAGTCTCACTCCATTGTGCAACTTGGTTCTGTATATTTAATTAGTTTACTGGCTGCGGCTAGCCATCTTAGTGCTCCTACTGGTCAAAAAGAGCAATTGACTGGCTGGCTTAGGCCTGTTTCAAACGTTGCATTTTACATGAGCCGAATGCAATTAAAACAAAAGATAATGAGGAATTTTATCTCATTTTCTTTTGTCTTTAATGCTTTCGGCGCATGTAAAATGCGACGTTTGAAACGGACCTTACTAAATGTGAGATAAAACAGACCAATCAGAATACTAAAATACTTCACTAAATATCAAATAACCTTAATGCTTTTAATTCTACTTAATTTAAGCTATTATTACAGTAAATAAAAGCTTTTTGGAACCGCATGCGAGTCATATATCAACGTGCAAATCACATAAGGGGTCTTATGAAATTCCCTCGTGAAACCCATGTTGTTTTTATGTGTTTTTTAGATATCAAAATGTTTGTGGAAGAATTTGATGAAAGAGTGTTCTTCATATATAGCACGTCTGCAACCACAAAATAAACATGATTCAATGAGAAACAGGAAATGTGCCAACAAAAACAAAAAATATTCTTCACACCCCATATCTTGGAGTCATGTTTCAAATTATTTAGCCCTGTATTTGTATTCTTACAACATGCAATATTTCGTTTTTAAATGATTCACAATTATACTTGCGTGCAGATACGTCAAACGTTGCAACTCAACTGTAAAAATGGGAAATATAAATTCATGCATGCATTTGTCATGAAAAAGATGGCATTTTTACTTTGTCATTAAAAAATATAATTAGCTCACTATCGCTATAGGTAATTTCTAAATGAACAAGTCTCAGTTTGTCAAAATTGAATATAAAGAAAATACAACATTTTCCTCTCAATATTTCTCTCTTGATAGTTTTAGAGAACACTAGTTGATTGTCGAATATTCCACGTGGATGTAAAGTTCAAATATAATCTATAGACAATTCTTATTATTTCTTGGAAACATTGTGTTATTCAAGATGTAGTGTGTAGGTAAATTGCTTGAAAATTTGTATTTCGTGACTCATCATATTTTAGTCAGCTTCAGTTTCAACTTGTATCATTCGAAGCAAATATTTTAAGTGTCTTTTTGGTTCTGTAATTAAATT